GCTTTTTTTTTTTCTTCCTAGTACATTTTTGGGGAGCGGGGAGGGTCAGTATCCCCCTCCCCCAGTGGAATGCAACTCCGTGGGATGGGATCTTCTTTGTTTTGTTTGCTGCCATGCTCCTAGTACCCGGCACCCAGCCTGGTGTGCATGGTTGGTGCTCAGTCAATGGGTGCTGAACGAATCACTCCTGACCGCCAGCCTGGCTCCGGGAGCACCCAGAGGCAGGGTCCAAGCTGATGTGCATACAGACCTGGGGTCCAGCCCTGGTCCTGTCACTTCATCTCTCAGGCTTGTCTCTCACACGGCTGTCGTGAGGATCGAAGATAACATGTGTCTGCTCTCCACACAGCATCTGACGGTCCACACGGTGGTGAGGTTTCCTCTGGCCCAGCACCCCGGTTTCCCTGTCCCCCACCTCCCACAGGAGTGTCAGGGGAGGACGGGGTTCCCCGGTGGTCTCAGCGCCTTCTTCCTCCCTTTCTACGTGCCCTCTCGGAGGCTGGACGCCTGTGAACCACTTTTCGCACCTCCCTTGGCCAGCAGGCTTCACATCGGCTTCTGCCAGTGAGATCGGATCTCACAGAACCAACCTTAGGAGGAGAGAGCCACCGGGCCACTGGCTGCAGCTCCCTCGGCTCCAGCCTTTCCTGATTCCCTGAACCCTTGCGGGGCCTCCTTCACACCCCCAGCCCTCCCAGTGGTTTCGTGAGCCGAATATATTAAGAGATTTATTTCCTACTTGAAACAGCTAGAGTGGAAGGTATTCTTGCCTGAGTCCTGACTGGATATCGAAGTTTCTGGAGTTTTTCCTGGGGCACACTTTGATGGTAGAGAAGGGCCAGAGTGTGCACTTGGGTGGCGTCAGGATGGAAGCTGGTAGGACATGGCTCCTCCCCCTTTGCCATCTTCTTTATTTTTCGGGCCGTGTTGCGCAGCATGAGGGATCTTAGTTCCCCGACCAGTGATCGAACCCGTGCCCCCTGCAGTGGAAGTGTGGAGTCTTAACCACTGGACTGCCAGGGAAGTGCCCGCCTTTGCCATCTTGGGTGGGGCCACAGCCCTGCGGTGAGACTGGTCCTGCATGTCCCCCTCCCCCAGCAGCCCTCACGGCAAGCAGCCCTCACGGCAATTGACAGCCACAGTGGGCGGAGTTCTCAGCACCTCACAAGTACCAACTCATTCATTAGCTCCTCAAAACGTCCCGTGTGGATGGTGCTGTTACCATCCTATTTTATACAGGAGTAAACTGAGACCCAGACTATTGAGTCAACTGCTCTTCAGTCACTTACATGCCTAATAAGTGGCAAACCTGAGATTCAAACCCAGTCTGGCTCTAGGGGCCGCGCTCATAATCACAGCTCTCTGCTCTCTTCCAGGCGTCTGTGCCAGCAGCTCGAGCAGCAGATGAGACCTTGGGGCCCTGGAGGAGGCGCTGTGAAGAGACGGGTGATGAGCTGATGCTTATTACATGCTTGAGAATTCACCAATGCCCTTTCTCCAGCCTCTTCTTATCTAATCATTTCCACTTTCCCACAAGCCCTGCAGCCCTCAAGCACATCAGCCCTCCCAGCACACGTGGGGAAGGGACCTCTCTCTCTATGGGGTGGATGGGGGACAGGGCATGGGGTCCCTGGAAAAGAATAACACTCCCATCTCAGCTCTGCTTCTCAACTGCCCACATGGCCCGTCCCTCTGTGGGCCCCAGTCCCCGACTGTAAGCAAAGAAGGTGGGCTGGAGGACCATTATGGCTCTTCTAGCTCTGAAAATTCTAGACTCCTGCTTTGAAGACATTTTGAAAATCAAGATCTTCGGTCAGGGCAGAGAGTGGACCACATGTTTCACTAAACCAGGCTGGGCTGGGAGTGCTTGGCTACTGGCTGCGTGATGGAGGCCCAGAGAGCCAAAGGCAAGTGTGCATGGGGACGTTGACCATCGAGTGGCTTTGCCTTCAGAACTGATAACTGCAAAGTGGATCTTTGGGCTGCAGAGACTCCAGCCTTGCCTGCCAATCCGAGGCTGCCCCTGCTCTCAGCAGGTTCTTACAGGAAGCTGGGCTGGTTGTCCCCCTTTTGATGAGCTGACTCGAGTCACTGACGGCCACTCTGTGCCAGGTGCTATGCTGGGCACTGAGGTTCAGGTGAATCAGACCCAGCCCTGGCGTCTCAGAGCTCCCAACCTTTCTCCCCTCCTTCAAGGCCCAGCTGGAACACCCCTCTTCCAGGAATTCTCCCCGGCTTCCAGCTCTGACTTCTAATGTCCCCGTGGTGTGGTACAAACCTAGCCCACGCCCAGGAGCTTTCCAGGGCACCAGGACCCACAAACCCTGGCCTGTGAAGAGGTCAAGACAGGTCCCGGCAGCCCTACCCCGTGCTGGGGCTCAGGAGTTGTGGTCAGAATTGTCGCTTGGCACAAGGACTTAGGACACAGCCCACATCTGTCCTGGCTGGAAGCAAAGGCACCAGTTTGACCCAGCACCCATGTGTTGGGCTCAGAAGCTCCTAAGTAAGCGAGGACATTGTGTTGTCTAAACGTTCCAAGTAATCTGCAGAGGGGCAGGGTCACCTTGCGACAGTGGAGAACACAGGGGCTCTGCACCCCAGGCCTGCCTCTTCCCAGCTGTGCGAGGCTGGCAGGTCCCATAAACACTGTGGGCCTCAGTGTCATCGTCTCTAAAATGGGCTAATAATACCCCCTAGCACAGTCACTGTGCAGCAGCTTAAACTAGTTAATGGGTTCAGATGCTGCCAGTGTTCCAGAGATGTGTTCCCCTCCTTCCTGGGCCCTCTGAGGCTGGCATTCACCACCCCGACACACTGAGTCTGCTCCCAGAGGACACCTTCCCCCTCGAGGGACACCAAAGCTCACTCTGGACCTCCGTCCACCCCACACAAACATAGGCTGGGCAATGCTGGCTGGGGGCAAGACAGGGCCCTGATGTGATGAGACACGCCCCGCTGGGTCCTCAACTGGTCATGTCCAGAGAAGCAGCCCCAAGGGCACCCCCTAGCAGTGGGAAAGATCTATCTCCACCAGTCTGTGAAGACAGCCCCTGCCCCAGGTACCTAGCCTGGCCTGGGCCCTGCCGCTCCCATCTGTGCCATGGTAGAGGCTCCCCAGAACAGGACATGGGCAGCTCGGCTTGGCTTTGCCCCTCACTCTACAGGGTAGGTAGTGCCGTGGAAATATACAAGCTCTGGCGTCAGGCAGACTGGGGTTCAAATCCAAGGTCCATTCCTTACTGGCTGTGAGATTTTGGTCAATTCACTTATCCTCCTTGACCCTCAGTTGTCCCATCTTGAAAATGGTACTAGGACCAACCCACCTCCTGGCATGGTTGTTAGACTAGTATCTCTGACGTTAGGTGTAAAGGACTAACAGGGCCCTGGGGAAAAGCTCACTCCCTGATCACAAAGAGGCCACCTCTGTACTCCGTGCACAGGGAGTGGTAGAGGGAAGAAGGCCAGGTGAAGAACAGACCCCAGACAAGCACCGAGGGCCCAGAATGCGCCCAGATTCACTCTCCGGGCTTGTCAGAAAGTCCTTGGAGAGATTTAATTGGGATGGGCTCTCCCCCTGGGAGAGGAGAGCCCAACATCCACCCAGCGAAGCTGAAGGTCACATCAAATCTGAAAGGCGACTTTGTTCTCTGCAGCTTCATCCGTTATGCATGAAAGAGCAGATGGCGAGTGCTCAGGATTCATAATTTGAGACATCCGGAGACTAAAGGCGTTGGCCAAATTTAAACCGAAAGACGGACTTGTTGAGTGTCTTCTCAGATTATGGGAGAAGAAGAAAGGAGAGAATTTCTTAGTCATCTACCATCCACTCAGAATTCACAGCCAGTCTGCCCGACGACGGCTGATATCAGAGGTCTCCGCCCCTGGGTTCCGGATATTTCCATGATCACTATTTGAAAGGGACAAAGAGATAAATGTCTGAGAAGACCCCCACTGGAGCTTGAAGAGAGCGGCCTTTCTGCGCGGCTCTACAGGAGGCCACAGGCAGCATGACTGCAGACGTGGCTCCCGGGGGATCAGGACGTGGCAGTCAAGGGCCACAGAGATCGGAGTCTGGGCTGTGGTCTGTCGAGCCCTGGCAGCCGCGCCTGCAGCCTCGGTGCCTGCAGCAGGAAAGGGAGCTAGCGCCACGGGGCTCAACAGGAGCGCCACGACGAGCTAGAGTTGAGAGCCTGGCACGGCCCTGGGCACAGACGAAGAGCTCGGTTAACAGTAGCCCCCGTTATTGTCCATTTTACTTTGACTTCCTTAAATGTATTTGGTCCCAATTGCCTTTTGCTCTGAGATAAGCTTTGAGCCATCTAAGTACATCACCGACAATATAATTGTCACCCGAATCTCACAAAACCCAGGGAGGCAGAAAGGGTGGTGACTGTTGTACCCTTTTCCCAGATGGGGAAACTGAGGCTCAAGGAAAGAAGTGACTGATCCAGTGTCACAGCCCCAGGTGGCAGAGCCAGAGCTAGACCTTGGGTCTCCCAAGTCACGAAAACACACTTTCCTTCATCCCCCACCCGAGTCCCCAGTCACACCCAAGCCACACGTTCTGAGTCCACATGGACAGGGAGGGTGTCTGGACTGCTGTCCCCAGCACTGAATCCCAGGCCTGGTTTGTGTTTAGCACAAAGTCTGTCAAATGAATAAACATCATGGACTCATTTGAGAATGTGATGGAAATGAGAGACACCATCCCCAAGAAAAATGTATGTGTGGCCACACGTATAATGTACATTTCAAGGGGTCACAGACCCTGGTTAGGAGGCCTTGACCTAGGTTTCCAGAGGCCTCTCCAGTGCTGAGCTCACTAAGCTATCCAGAGGTGACCTCATGGCACAACCCATCTGCCTGGTGGAAAGGGGGCCCTCACAGACCGTTATCCCCCATGTCTGGGTCTGTGGCCACCACTGCTCCAACCACCCAGGGCAGGGGCTGCCCAAGGCCACGCTCCTACGCGGCCACCACGACACTCCACGCAAGTGCTCTTTGTATTTCAAAAAGAGAACATTTATTACTTATTTTTTTCCTCATTAGAACTTCCTTTACAGCAACACAAAGTAAAGCACAACAAAACTTATTTGTAGACACAAGGGGAGCACACTGACCACTGTTGGCCAGAGACCAGATGAAGGCCCCATGGAGACTCACACAAACACAGCACAGCCTTTCTCAGGTCTCCTGGACCCTCGTGCCAAGGGTGGCCTGTGTCAGGTCCAAGCCCTGCTGCCTCACGACAAATACAGGGGCTGATACCAAGGAGATCTGGGGTGGGCAGCGGGGGTGCAGGAGCTGGGCCAGGGAACGGAAGTTATCTTTACATTTTGATAAAGGCAATCCCACCCCACCTCTCACCCAGGCACTCCTGTCTCTGTGTTTTGATTCAGATGCTTAGTTAGATACGTAGATTCTAAGAAACGGTGTGTTTCCTGGGCTGGTGAAACCTGCTCCGACTATCACCAGAGACTTAAGCTTGGTAAAGCCAGGCCTGGGAGGCACCCGAGGATGAAGAAGGTGCTGGCGGCTTTGCTGGGAGCCCCATGGGGGTGAAAGGAGAGGAGGGGAGACTCTGAAGGCAGGTTGCTGCTGGTACGTCCCCGACCTGGGGTCGGAGCATCAGGAAGGAACAGCGTGATGCTTATGAAGTTTGGTTCTGTTTCACCCTCTGAATTAGCAGACTTCAAACACTTCCATTTCCACAGAAATCAACAGCGAGACAGCTAGCAGGGCACACAGGCTCATGCCAGTTACGTGAGTAAAGGCACCAGATGGTTTGTTATGAAACACATTTTGGTCAGAAAATAGCTGGGGCTTTTTGGTTCCTGGGAGGACAACAAAGCCAGAAAAAAGGAGGTGCGAGTTGTGAGAGGTGTGGGGGAGAAGGCAGCTTTGGCACCAGATCTGGGTTCTACTCCTGACTCTCCCCCTTCCACGCGCGTGGTCTCAGTTTCCTCATCTAGAAACTGGCAACCAAACATTCGCAAACAAATCTAGGTGTTAGGTTTCACGCACTATCTCAGGAAGTACGGGGAGGTGGGGCTCAGACCAAAGAGCGGCGCGGGAAAACTTCATCCACGTGGAGGGGGAAGGGCGGGATGGGAGCTCTGCAGGAGGTGGTCACACAGATGACCCCACCGCCGCAGGCAGACTCTGGGAGTCCAGGGCAGCCAGTTACACCGGTTCCAAGCACCGCCGGGGACTTTGGGCCTCGTCTCTCGGAAGAAGGGCAGAAAGAAAGCTCTACGCAACGCAGCACCGTCGAGGAGCTGGGGGCCACACCTGCTGTGTGTGCTTTAAAGTGCCTGCCACGTGTTGTCTTTGGTCAGGGGCTGCCCCTCTGTCTCTGAGAGCCCCCAGGGCCAGGAGCCCAAGCCCCGGCCCGCTGGGCCCCCCACGGAAGGCGGGCTGGATGTCACAGTCTCCTCCCGCGGCTGTGTCGCCCTCCTGTGCTCAAAGGATGACAGAAATGAACGATCCGACTACTTTCAGTAAGGAGCAAGGGCACCTCCAGGGAAATCTGGGCCCTTGAAGAGAAGGGACAAGAAATGCTTTGGCCACCATCCTGACACCCACAGTGGAGCAGAGCTCGCTCAAGAGAGGGCAGAAAGCTGGTTATAACACTGCGCTCGCGCCTGATGCACAACCAGCTTCTGAGTTGAACCAGGAGTCACTGAATAAATATTCAAGGCATCTTTCAGTTCTCAGAGAAAGAACGGGGTTAAAAAAGAATCTCTCCTTCCCTCTGCTTGACTGGTTGCAGCTCTCATCTGCAGACTGACAGCGCTGCCGACTGAAGGACACTGGCTGGGGGTCCTGGAGCTGGCCCCGCCCCCGACGTGGGTGGCTTTGGTTTGTCACGTGTCCCGCCAGCCCCAGGCCTCAGAAGTTGAAGAGGTCATCCGGCTCGGCGCCACCGCTGTCAGGCTTGTCCCAGTCGACAGGCGAGAGGCACTGGGCGTAATGAATGTCCTGTGCTGTCAGTCCAGTGTCCAGGACCTGAGGGTTCGTCCGAGATTGGGCAAGCCTGGAAGGCAGAGCTGCGTGAGCCGGAGGCCCAGGCAAGGGGCTGGCGGGGCCCCGAGGAGCTGGTCCAGCCTGGCCAGCACCAGGGTCAGAAGTGAGAGGACGTGGGTGGGAAAACGGCAGGACACATGGCCAAAGAAGCAAGACCCGGATGTCAGTAGAGGTGGCGCCTCTAACCAGAGAGCCTACCCTTGAGGGTCAAGGGGCTCAGAAAACTGTGGGGCAGGCAGTGGCGTTCCCACCACGGAGAGGCTGGGGCACCCACACCGTCCACAGCTCCATCAGGAAATGCCAGGAAAGAGGAGAAAGGGCAGCGCTGCCAGCGCAGAGAGGGGCATGCGTGAGAGCGAGCCTGGGGCAACCATGGAAGACCACTGGCTTTAACTACGTTCAACACAGTGCTGTTCACAAAGTAAATTCAAAAAGGGGCACAACTGAACGTACCAAGAATAGGGAGAGTTAAATAAATTACGGCCCATGTCCTTAAAAGAACATGAGGCAGTCAGTGAATGAGGTGTTTACAAGGAGTTTTTAACAGCCTGGAGAAATGCTCCTGATACACCAGCAGTAAGTGAAAATCAGGATCTCCAAATGCAAATATGATGAGCTGATCAATGCAAAAAAATGTATATGTATAGGATTAGCGTGAATTAAGCCCCAAAGTCAGGGCTGTGGGATTATGGGATGGTGTTATTTCCTGTTTAACGCTTTGCTGATTTTCCAAGTTGTTCATTAAGGGCACAAGACAATTTAGTAATCTGGAAAAAGTGAATGAAAGATTTCCTTCAAACAAGGGGGTTGTAGTCAGCCAGAGAAGCTGGGAAGATGGTAAAAAGAATCATGAAGGGGCCACACATGCCGCTCCCCCGACCTGGGCTGCACCGAGAGGTTTCCACTGGTTCTGGCAGGAAGGGGATGGGGAAGCGGGGGAGGGCTGTAGGGGGCTGCTGAGGGTCCCAAGGGAGAAAGGAAGGCCTGGCTGACCAGGGCCCAGTGCTCGGAAGCCTGAGCTGCCCAGGCCTCTCCTCAGCCAGCCTTCTTGGTGGCGTGTCCCCAAGCTGAAGGCAGCCATGGACAGAGATGGCCCCTGGAAAAGGGGGAAATGCCACCAGCCTCTGGTTAGACCAAATATCTCCTAATGGGACTCACATCCCTCCTCTACGTAATGCTCCATGGGCTTAATTAAACACTGCCTTTGAGCTTCCCTGGTGGCGCAGTGGTTGAGAGCCTGCCTGCCGATACAGGGGACACGGGTTCGTGCCCCGGTCCGGGAAGATCCCACATGCCGTGGAGCGGCTGGGCCCGTGAGCCATGGCCGCTGAGCCTGCGTGTCCGGAGCCTGTGCTCCGCAACGGGAGAGGCCACAACAGTGAGAGGCCCGCGTACTGCAAAAAAAAAACAAAAAAAACAAAAAAAACCCCACTGCCTTCTCCCTGCCCCTTTCCATAAATGCAAAACCTCTGGAAGGAACAAAGCCTGCAGAAAAGCCCATTTTTGAAGGCTACACCAGGTGTAGGAAGAGGAAGCCAACCTGAGCTGTAGTGTGTTCAGTTCAGCTCAACCTGTGGTAGAGCGGTCACCAGGAATAGCTTTTGATTCAACAGCAAGAACTTTCTGGCAGACCTAGCCAGATAGTGAGCTCCCCACCCCTGGAGGTATCTGAGTTGAGATTTTTGCTCTGGGGAAGGTCAGAGTTCACATTCTCAGACATGGCAAAGGGCCCTGCAGACCAACCCCCAAGGGCCAGGCCTCCCCCCCCAGCACCAGGAGCCCACCTAACGTTACCTTGAAAATGCTTCATCCAGGCCATCATCCAGCTCCTTGGGGAAAACAAAGCAGGAGATAAGAACCCTCAGAGGGGGAGCCCGTGCTCACAGCTGGGGCTTGTCCCAGCCCTGGGTAAGCTATAGGGACGTGGCACACAAGCGTAGGAGTCTGGTGGGCGCCTAGAGGAACAGGCACGGGCAGGCCTTCCACCTGGCTACTGCCACCAGCATCTCAGCACAGGGACCCAAACCTGGGATGTGGGACAGGAGAAAGGGCACCTAGGTGCCTAAAGACCTGGGGGTTCAATTCCCAGCTCTGCCACGAGTCAGCAACACCTTAGGCAAGTCACTGCTCCTCTTTGAGACTCAGCTTTTCCTTCCACAAAATGAGGGGGTTGGACCGGACGACCTCTACAGCTTTCAAATTCCAAGAGGGAGGATGGGAAGAAGGTTTTCTAGCTTTCACCCACTTTCAGAAGCTGAGCCCAAATTCCAAGCTCACAAGGGATAGCTGATGGCAGGAATGCCACAGCCTAGGTGGGAAAACAATGGGCAAGGCTCCCTCCACAGCCTCCGGGAGGACGGGCAGGTGGCAAGGCTGGTTCCCAGACTGCAGACAACAGGCTCGCGGTGCCTGCTTGGGGGACACTGGGTGGCCGCCAACAGGCAATGGGATTTGATAGGTTTTCAAGTCCATCAATGTTCCAGATTTTTAAAATTAAAGAGACGTGCATAGCACAGGGAGATCAGCTTGATGCTTTGTGACAACCTAGAGCGGTGGGATAGGGAGGGTGGGAGGGAGATGCAAGAAGGAGGGGATATGGGGATATATGTATACATGTGGCTGATTCACTTTGTTGTACAGCAGAAACTAAAACAACAGTGTAAAGCAATTATACTCTAATACAGATTAAAAAAGAAGATTTTGCAAAAACGTAAAAAAAAAAAAAAGAGACATGACATAAAGTAACATGTCATTCTGCAATAGATCCTGGACTAGAAAAAGGACATTGGAGGGACAAGTGGAGAAATGTGAATCAGGTCTGTAGATTATATAAGTGTTGCATAAATGTTAACAATTTTGATTTTTGTAACGTGGTTATGTAAGATGTTAACAATTGAGGAATCTGTATGAAGAGGAACAGGAATGCTTTGTACCATTTCTGTAATTTTTTATCAGTCTGAAATTATTTCCAAATGAAAAAAATTTCTAATTTTTTAAATTAAAAAATTATGTTCCTCTGGGAGATTCTGCAGGCAGAGGTCATCATCATCACTAAAGAAGTGAAAAAGCTGAGACAGAGAGAGGTCAGAGTGCTTGCCCCGGGTCACAGAGTGAGTCAAGGGCCAGGCTGCCTGCCTGAGTCTCAGGCTCCGCGTTCAGGGGGCCGACGGGGAGAGGCTTCAGGAGCGAAGTGCCCATGCCGAGAACAAGGGGGCCTTTGGCTGGTCCTGCAGTGGGCAGAGCCATGGATGCTCAGGCCAAGAGGCCAGGCATTGTGAGGAGACAGCTGTGCCGGGAGCCAAGGCTGTTGGGGACGCAGCCCTAGGTTCAAAGGGGACATTGTTCATCCCCTACCCTGGGTCTGGCTGCTGGGCTGGGTCAGGCCCTCCTGGAGGCCTGCAAGTCACGGGCTCCAGGGTCTGCACCTTGGAGCTGCCTTAGGCCTCATCCAGGGATCAGGCCAAGGCTCACTGGATCCTGGGGGGTCCCCAGGCCACATGACCACTCACCCAGACAACGCTGCTGCTGTTTAAGGCTTGAGGTCGCGGTGCCTCGTCCACGTTAGCGGTGTTAGCGCTGACCGTGGACAGCGGGGCCTTGGCTGTCTCTTCCAGGTCCAGCAGGTTCCCAGTGGCGACCACTATGAGGGGTCAGGTGCGTCAGGAGGAGAGGAGGTTCCTGTCTCCCAGCCCCATCCTGGAGCCTCCTGGGCTACCCTGGTCCCGACTCCCTCCTTGGGCATGGCCTTTCCAGCCCTTTCCACCCAGACCACCCAGAGCCCCACCCTTGCACCTCCCGAAGCAGCTGGACAGCTGCCCACAGGGTGGGAAGCTCTCTCCCACTCATGGTTTAGGCTGAAACCCATATTCACAACAGGTATTAAGTTTTTTAAGAGATCACACAACAAGATGTAAAGTGTATAGGGAGAGATGTATACACAGATTTATATACCTGTATAGGGACATATCTGGAGGAACATGCACCAAAACAAGTAATTTTCCCCCTTTACCTGCATTTGCTAATTTCTCTATAATAAACAAGCATTATTTATTTAACACCAAAACAAAGATAAAAACCCAGGAGCTTACCCCAGCCCAGGAGGGAGGGGGGCCCTCTGGATGAAGGGTCCCATGCCATGCAGCCCCTCCCCCGCCCAAGACTCACGGCTCTTCAGCGAAGGGGTGCTGTCTCGGCGGCCCCCCGCCAGGATGTCCCCTCCGTCTTGGCTGGTTTTCTCCCTCTTCTCCTTCTCTGTGGGACCAAGGCACAGCGCGTTGGAGCCCCCGACCCCAGCACTCCATCCCTAGCCATCACTGGGCAAGGGGTAGGCTGTGGCCAATCTCAGGGGGCAGGTGTTAGGTCTCCAGAATGGAGAAAAGGAACTCTGCATATTTCACTTAATCCTCACAAGGACCCTGGGGGAGGGAGACAGCTGCTCCCAATTCTTCAGATGGGGAAACTGAGACTCGGAGGTGAAGGGGCCTGTGCAAAGCCACAAACCAGACAGGCGGTGAAGCGGACGACCAGTCCAGGCCTGACTCCAGAGCCTTTACCATCCTCCCCGCCCCGACTGCTCTGCTGGTCGCCTTCAACGCCCCTGCACACCCCACCCACCATGTCCGCAAACAAGACTCACCTTCCTTGGATACCTGCCAAAACTCAAAAGCGACTTTGAAGGCCTGGGCTACTGTGAGGGTGACAGCCTGGGCCTGAAAAACAGGAAGTGGGGTCGGGGGAGGGGTACAGTGTTAGGCAGGTAAACGCAAGTCTCAACTGGAGGCCCAGGGACTCCAGGCCAGGCCCACCCTGGCTGTCCCAGGCTCTGGAATGCCTGATTGGTGGAGGCAGAGTCCTGGCCCCTCCCACATCACCAAAGCTGAGGTAATGAGGTCACACCTTCCCCAGGCAGCTGGGCCCCCTCTTCACTAAGTGAAGCCCAGCCAAGATTCCCACGGGTACTCCAGTCCCCACCTTGGCAATGGCCATTCACCTCTACTTTTTTCCTTCGCCTTTGAGTTCCCCTAAATGCAATTAACTGTGAGGCTTATTTCCTCCGAGAAGTCCTCTCTAATTACCTGAGGACTGCACACAGTAACTTAGTCCTTAAAATGAGAGAACAGAAAAGCCAGAGTTGGAAAGGGCCCCGCCGCTGCCTGAATGAGCCACAGCTGCAGAGGCAAAGGTTAGACTCCAGTTACTACTATGCTGGGCCAGAGGGGCTTATAACTGAATGCCAGAAAGGCAGGAGGAGGCTTCTACATTTCCTGGCAGGTGCAATATGTCAATGAGGGCCCAGGGCAGAAGACTAAAACCATCCAGTGCCATAGCCCACCTGTAAAGAAGGGCCACACCTTGTCCCTCAACCCCTGGGGGACTCCCATCTACTCCTTCAAACCCAACTCAAATGTCACCACCTCTCTCACGTCACGTCATGTCGCGTCACAGGCACTGGGCTTCCACAGCCCCGCCTACCTCTCTCTGGTGTCACGCATATGAAAGTGTCACCAGCTCACATGCCTGTGTCACCCCACCTGGGTGCTCCCTGAAGGCAAGCATCGACTCTGAACACCCCTGATTCCCAGAGCCCTCCAGGGGTGTCTAGGATGGTGGCTGAATTGCATTTGCCCAGGGGCAGGTCTCCTGAGGCCTTACACTCCAGCCAGGACCTACCCTTAGCCCACCTTCAACTCAGCCCTTTCCTCTCTGATTCCATTTCAGAGTTAATCAGCTCAGCTTCTGGGAGTGGAAGTCCCAGAGCTCGCAACTGTAGCTGGAAGCGACATGTAGCGTCTTCTGCAAGCTCGGCCTGGGGAAGAAAGCCACCAGACTCTTTCAAGTGTACGACACGTTCAGGCCTAACCCGCCTCGGCCCCACTCCCTTCGCCTCCGCCAGACAACTCAATTTAATTGAGAAATGAATCTGTGGCTACTGCCTTTAAAACTTTTTTAAAATTTAAAATCCCTAAACAAGCTGACTGATCCATGCCAATTAAATTTCACGAAGTATAAAATCTCATTTGAATGTCTCTGTCATTTACATTTTTGATGGAAGTACGGGCGCTTTATGGCAAAACTTAAATATGGTAATTAAGTATGAAACTCTTCACAGCTGTTTACAATTTAAGCTGTCACGTCTGGATCAAGTTTAATAGACCCAGTTACCATTGAGAATTGCCCATGAAATAAATATATGGGCTAATTACCAGCCAGAGTCAGATCACTATACACCCAAGCAAGGGCTGGTCACCCGGTGTGGCAGGGAGATGGGAACGCCATTATTTTTGCCTCCAGGAAATCTGAGGGCACAAGCCTGACACTGTTTTTGCATAAATCTGCTTGTTCATTTGCATACATCCCCGCCCTTTCACCCCGAAGTCCTGAGCTGCAAGTTAAACCCAATATAACTCAAGATGCAGATGCATGCAGGTGGCTGAAAGCCCAGGCTGGGCAGAGACTGGGAGGGGGTGGGCCCCGTTTTCCTGGGCGACTGCAGGAATCTAGGCACTAGCGATGGAAGGATTGCTCAGGCCTGCCCACCGAAAAGCCCTCCTTGACTCCGCAGGCCAGGAGCCTGCCCCTCCTGAGTGCCTCTGGCCTCTGGGTCTGTCTTATTACCCTGACCAGGTACTGCCTTGCCCAGTTTTTGACGTCCCTGTCTTGTTCTGGGTAACCAGGCTGTTAGCTTCTCACGGGGACCAGGTCTAGCTTAGGGCTGCAGACCTGGGCCAGGACCCCGGAATCCAGGACCCCAACCAGGTTCTCAAACCAAGTCAGGCCAGGTGCCCTGTACAGCCCTGCTGCCCAGAAGCATAAATCACTGCACAAAAGGATGACCTGAGGAATGCCAGTGGCCTGGGAGGGAGAATAGCCCTGCCGCGCCCGACCCCAGGTGGAATTAGGGAGCCCACCTGTACCGCAACCCTGGGCTCCCCACCGATGCCAGCAACAGCACCTTCACTTCAGAGCCCAGAGGCTGAAGTGCTGGCTGAGGGCTCCCAGGTGGGCAGATGGAAACACTTCTTTGTACAGAACCTTATCCTGGCCATGCCCAATAGAAGCCACGGGGAAAGAGAGGCCAGGCGGTTGGGCTGCCTGAGCTGAGCTGAACTGGTGGGTGATCCAGAAAGGGACCCATTTGCCCCTCGATCTGGGTGGGTCCTAGGCTTCTTGCTCATTCAGGCAGCCCAGCAAGGAAGGGTGGGGATGTGGAGGCTCTGGGCCCTTGGCCAGAACGACTGAGGGCTACGTCAGCGTGCAAATTCAAGGCTCCCCTGAGGCTGACTCTACCTAGCCATCCACCCAGGCTCTGGTGACATCTGAATCCCCAACCCCCAATCGTACCACTTCACTTTGCACCTCTGTGTCTTTGCACGTGCTGATTCCTGCGCTGGAGTGCACCCACCCTCTCACCACCCTGCCCCATTTTGCTTGGCCTGGCAAACTCCTACTTACTACTCATCCTTCAAAGCCCACCTCAAAATGTCTCCTCTGAGAACTCTTCATGTGCCACCTCCAGAGTGACTTAATAACCTCCGCCTGAGAACCAAGCTCCCTGTATGCCCGTTACTGAATCCCGGCTCTTCTCTCCCGTTGCCTGGTTCGCATCTTCACGGCCACCCTGGGTCCCCAGTGCCCGACACGGAGCTCAGCCTGGGACAGGCAGCAGCAAGCACGTGGAGGGACCTGCCAGCAGGCGGGATGTGGACTGAGGCGCCCATTTCACCTCCTGCCTCCTCCTCAGAGACGTCCGCTCCGCCCTGAGAGGCTCAAGGTCTCCAACGTGGCCAGACCACAAGGCCATAACACACTGGCAGCTTGGGCTCAGCTGAGGCCTTGGGAGCCACAAGGACACCACACACATCAGGTGGTCTACTGACACCGCCCTGGGCTGGGCTGTCTCTCCAAGGGACCTCCCCAGGGCTCCCTGAAACGGGGAGGCCAGGTGGGAGAGGCTGGAGATGGACAAGCCAATATCCAGCCGCTCCTGATGCAGATGAGAACGGGCCAAAAGCCAAGAGTCTGGGCCCTGGGTGTCCAGCAGGAGCCCGTCCCTCTGCCCGGTGGCTCTGCTGTCAGCACCAAGCAGGCTGGCTGTTTTCCCCAGTACCTGACCTCTTGGCCTGGGGTAGACGGGTTTTGTTCAAGCCTGTCTAAAGTCCTCTGGCCCAAGGCCAGGCTCCCTTAGCCGCTGGGCCAGCATCCACTTTCTTTTACCCCCGACCTCTCCATCCCAGAGGAAGCCTCTACATGTTGGGAGCCCCTGCACTGCAGCAATGGCTGAGGGCCAGCTGCCCCTGCCCGGTGCCTGCTCTGGTCAGTGGGGAGGAAGAGACAAACAATGGGGACATAATGAGCTTGTTCTGTGGGAACAAGGCTGTCACGGGAGAAGCCACCGCAGCTCAGGGACCTAGGGCATCATGAGGCCCCGGGTGAGTGGCTGGCGACATCGAGTCTGCAGGAAAGAAACAAGGTGCACAAAAGAAACTGAGACCTTTCAGAACAATCCTGGAGGTCATTGAGGTGACCTCCTCATTCTGCTGATGGCATGCAGCCCAAAGAAGGTCAGGGGTCTTATCCACGGTCACAGAGGATCAGGCCCCTGGTCTGTCTCCTCCTACAGTGCTCCTCCCACAAGACCTGTGGTAGGCTGAATCGTACTCCCTCCACCCCACCCCACCCCATCCCCGGTAAGATGTCCACATTCTGATCCCTAGAACCTGTGAATGTTACTATACATGTCAAAAGGAACTTTGCAGATGTGATTAAGTTAAGGACTTTGAGATGGGGGATTATCCTGGATTACCCAGCGGGCCCAATCACAAAGGACCTTATGAGAGGGAGGCAGGAGGGTGAGAGTCAGAAATAGCAATGTGATGACAGAGCAGAGAGGGAGACTGGAAGATGCTCCACTGGCTCTGAAGTTGGAGAAGAGGGCCCTGAAGGGTAGCAGAAAGCCTGGGCGGGGCGGGGGTCACTTTCAGACTGTGATGTCCTGGATATGTCCTTGATGACATGGGGAGGGGAACGGATCCTGTCTCCTTGGCTACAAGGACCACAGGGCACAGGAACTGGGGCTCTGGGCTTCGCACACAGAGGTTAACAGAGGCCAATACTAAATCAATAAATGTCGGGAACCTCCTTACAGGGCGGATGCTCAGATCTCGGGGGCCTCAGAAACAAAAACTTCAATGCCAAAGGCTGACTCCCTCCAGCTGCTTGCCACGAAGTTCAAGACAAAAGCCCAGAGACCACTGAGGTCCAGCTCGTCCCAGCTAGATGTGTCAGGGCATCCTGGAAATGGGGTGAGGGACTCCTGGCTCCTCACAGCCATGCAGGGAGAGAAGAAATGTGGGTTTAGACCCTCTGCTAGCTAACGGCACCCTCTGCTAGATGACAGTTAGCTACATCATCTTCAGCAAGAGAGCTGACCTCTGTGAGGCTGTTTCCTCATAAAAAATAAAAATAAGGGCTTCCCTGGTGGCGCAGTGGTTGAGAGTCCGCCTGCCGATGCAGGGGACACGGGTTCGTGCCCCGGTCTGGGAAGATCCCACATGCTGCGGAGTGGCTGGGCCCGTGAGCCATGGCCGCTGAGCCTGTGCATCCGGAGCCTGTGCTCCGCAGTGGGAGAGGCCACAACAGTGAGAGGCCCGCGTACCGCAAAAAAATAAAAATAAAAAAAAATTTAACAAAAAATAAAAAACAAATAAAAATAAAAACAATGAACGCAGTTACAGTGCCCACCTTGCAGAGTTGTTCCGAGGAGAAATGAGACGGTACCTTAAAGATTACCACTGAAACAGGCACAGAGTAGGTACCAAAATATGGCCATTTCCCTCCCTTCTCCGGCCACAGCGAGCCGGGTCCTCTGAGGGCCCTCGCCTTTGCCTTTCACACTGGGCACCTCTGATCACCAGTCTCTAGAGACTAATCCCTATAAGGCCCTGCACCTTATAGTGACAGGAGACCCACCCCACCCCCGCCCCAGATCTCAAATCCATCAAATCACATTATAGAGAGGAAGCGGCTCAGGGCACTCACTGGGAACGAGGGCTTGTCGCTGCCCACAGGCCAGGCGAGGGCAGCCCATCCTGACAGGTGGCCCACCCGACTGTAGCCCTACATGGTGCCCTCAGCTCTCAGCACCCACTTGAGGTTCCCAGGGACTTCAGACTTTCTTTAACTGATGTCACCTTTGGGTCCCGCCTTCCCCCCAGTCAGGGCCCCCAAGGCAGGGCTGCCAAGGCGAGGCTAGAGCCTGCGCAAGCCCAGCCTCTCCCCACTGACCATCTTCCGCTTGGTGCAGAGGAAAGCGTGGCACTCAAGATTCTCGTTGTGCTGGCTCTGTGCGATGTACGCAAACACTTTGTCATGCATCTTGTCTGCTGTGCAGTAGGAGATTCTGAAAGGCAAGTGGCAAGTGTCACCAGACTCCGGCACAGGGGCCTGACTGCATCCCGAAAGCCCCTTAGAGCATCTCCCCTGAGTTCCAGAAAGCCTGCCATCCCATTCCACTAGGGTGGGACTCTGGGCCTAGCATCCTGGGCCATCCATGGGGTGCGGGAGAGTGGGGAAACCCAGGCTAGGCAAGAAGGAGTGGTGGTAAAGACTGGAGGAAGGGCTTCCCTGGTGGCACAGTGGTTAAGAATACGCCTGTCAATGCAGGGGACACAGGTTCAAGCCCTGGTCCGGGAAGATCCCACATGCCGCGGAGCAACTAAGCCCGTGTGCCACAACAACTGAGCCCGCGCTCTACAGCCCACGAGCCACAACTACTGAGCCCGTGTGCCTAGAGCCCGTGCTCTGCAACAAGAGAAGCCACCGCAATGGGAAGCCCGCGCACCACAATGAAGAGCAGCTTCCGCTCACTGCAACTAGAGAAAGCCCACATGCAGCAATGAAGACCCAACACAGCCAAAAATAAATAAATTAAAAAAAAAAAAAAAGACTGGAGGAAGGGCACATCCCCCCTCTACTGAGCCACATCCCTAAATAGTAGTAGGTGAGCCCTTACTGTACACCAGGCAATGTTCTAGATATCACCTCACTGCCTTCTGAGATGCGTTCTAGTACTATCCCCACTTTTCAGGTGAGAATACTAAGGCTAAGAGTCTCAGACCACCAGGCTAGTTTCCGGAGGCCATAACCACTGCCATGCTCCCTCTTAAGAGTTTGTGCTAACCAGCTGGAAAGGGGGGCAGGACACTACCCTGCCCACAATGCCCTTCACCTGAGTGTCCCCCACCTGCCCTCCCTTTGATCACACCCCTGCGCACAGGTCAGATGAGTTACAGGCCCATCTCTCCCAGGGTGACTGAGACTAATGACAGCTTCTCTTGGAGCTGTGGCCAGGGGAAAAGGAGCTGGGAGTAGGGCGGGGGCGTAGGAGGGAGACACAGCAGCTCCCTCCTCTGAAACACCTTCTCCCCCCTTGTCTGATCCCTCCCCGCTGTCTCCAGTCATCCTGGGAATCCCAATCAGAAGAGGAGCTGGCAGCCCAGGGGTGGGACAGCTCAGCAGACGCCCTCACCTCATGCAGCCCCAGTTTCAATCACAGGCATTGACAAAGGGATCATCACCACTTAAAACCCCCAGATGGGCAGAAGGAGGGGGTGTCAGGTTCCCAACTGCCTCTTCTCCAACCCAGGGGATCCAGCCTCCTGTCCTCAATGCCCTGGGTCTTCGGTGTCACTCAACTAGATCCTATTTTTCAAGCCCCAGCAAGGCGCCTCCTCCCGTGAGAGGCCCTCCCAAGCTTCCCCAGGCAGGCCTCTCCTTCTCTGCCCTCTTGGGAAACACTTATACTCTATCTCCCATGTCCTCTGCTCCATCCCCTCCTAGACTGGAAGCTCCTTGAAGGCAGGGGCTGGGTCTGATTGCTCACCCGGCACAGACCTCAGCAGAGCAGGTACTTGGACACCAGCTAGAAACTCTAAAACCACGCCCTCAACACACATCCACCCTCCCACCACCACCCCCCAACCCCAGTACTGGCTTTGCTCCAGCCAGCTGAGCCACCTGCTCGGAGACAAGGCAAGAGAGTGCAGGGACGAGAGGCCTGACAGAACTCTGGCCTCGGTGTCCTGGGCGTAGCTCGGCCACTATCTCACCACGTGGCCTTGGGCAATTCCCTCTCTGGGTCTCAGCTACCCCACCTGGAAAATGGACCTGAGCTGCCTGTCTCTTCCAGCTCTGAAATTTTACAACTGACCAGCTAAGGGAGAGGCGGGGACAGCCTGAGGCTCCAAGGGCCGGGCCTGTTGCCCTGTGAACAGCGCCCACCCTCTACAGAGATCATCTACACTCTGGCCTCAGACTCTGCCTGAGACCTCCCTGGACACCTGGCCAGATGTCCAGAGCTGAGCTGCTGCATTCCCAGCGAAAAAGGCAGTGACTGTGCAGCTCTCTGCTCCAAGCCTGACTCAGCAGCACACTTGGGGGTGGGGTGGGGGGCAGGGGTGTCCCAGGCCGGCTGCAACTAGTGATAATGGCAGCAGCAACTGCCATTAGCCACACGCTCACTGTGAGCCAGGCGCGGGGCATCCAGGGCTTCATAACCGCACGCCGGGCGGGACCTGCTTCCAACCGCGCACACAGATGAGGGAACTAAGGCCCCCAGGTCACCCAGATAGGAAGTGGTAGGGTCTGGATTCAGACAAAGCACTCCATCCACTGCCCCGAGCAGCAGACTGAATGTGGGCAATGCTGAGCGTACCTGTAAATGGACACGTTCTCAATGAGCTGGTTGGTGATGTTGTCGGTCAGGATGATCCCCCGTGGCGACACCTTGAGAGTCACCTTCTGCAGCTTCTTCCCACTGGCCTTGGCCTTGGGGCAGACGTGGGTCAGAGGAGCCTACCTACCCACTTGGGACCCACCCTCGTGGGCTACACCCAGCTGCTCTAAGCCCCAGACGCGAGGCCCACGGGAGGCCTCACCTTAGGTGACCGGCAGACATGATGGGGAAGACAATTCAGCCAACACCTTCTTCTAATAAAAATAGGGACAAATGTCACTCACTGAGTACCTGCTGTCTGCCAAGCACGGGACCTCGAGTCATCCTCACAGGCGGCAGGGACTTGCCTCAGGAGAAACCAGACTCAGAGGGGTTAAGGGAGTTGCCCAAGGACACACAGCTAGGAGGGACCTCAGACTTTGAGGGCTGAACGCGCTATCACAGCCCAGCAGGATGGGGACTCCACGCTCCACCCACTGTACCTGCCAGGGCCTGAGCAGAGGGGGCCGAGACCACCAAGAGAGGCGAACTCATAGGGCACGCGCTCACTCAGAGCTGGGGAGGAAATCCAGTCCCTCAGGCCACAGGGCAGGTGGCTGGGTGCCAGCAGCCCTCCCACTATCCCTCCCTGGCACGAAGCTACCAACCCTCGGCCGGTGGCCTGAGCTGAGGGAGGGGAGGTTTAGAGAGGCCACGGCCACAGCAGCTGGAGAGGAGGACACTGGCCGGACCCTGCCAGCCCAACGGCCGCCCTCTCGACCCTCTAAGCTGGACGCGGGGGGACGCGGGGGCAGGGCAGCTGCAACACGTTCAGTCAGGGTGATATGCAGGGGATGGGTGCTCACCCCCCAAGCCCCAGAAGGCGCTACCCCTTCCTCGTGCTCCCACACCCCACCCTGACTGGGCTCACCGTGGCCACGATCCTCTTGACGGCGGCGGCCGACAGCTCCTCACCCTTGGGCTGCTCCACCAGCGTCATGCCCAGGTACTTGAGGCTGAAGAGCATGCCCTCGAGCAGCGTCTCCCGAGTGTCTGTCCAGTTCTCAGGCAGCTCTGGGCACAGGAGGACAGGCGCTCAGACCCCGCTGGGCAGGGCCCACCACAGCGGCAGCATCTGCAGCCCCCGTCTCCTAGGAAGACCCAGCAGGGACATTGGGGTCCCCCCATCTATCATTACTTTTATCTTTAATAAAGGAATAACATTTTCTAGTACGTACCAGGCACCATGGTAGGAAGCGTTACATAAAATCTTCTCATTGATCCTCATGAGGACCTATGAGGCAGACACTTTTATCATACCCATTTACAGACAAAGACACGGAGGCCCAGGGAGGCGAAATCACATGACCAAGTCCACAGAGCCAGCAAGTGCAAGAGCCAAGAATCAAACTCTCATTTTCAGATCCGAAGCCCAGACCCTTAACTTCAATGTTAACACTTGCTGAGGGCAAACCATGCCATTTTCTTATTGAATCTTCAACGCAATCCGGTGAGATGGGTATTATTCCCACTTTACGGATTAGGAAACTGAGGCTCAGAGAGGTGAAGTCGTCAGACAAAGGCCACATACAATGAGTAAAGGGTTGGAGTCACAATTCAAAACTGGGTGGTTCCCATGGCCCCAGTCTGGCCTGCTTTCCTCCATCTGCACAGCCACAGAGACCAAAAGGTAGGGAGGAGGGAGACCAGGAAAGAGACAGCAGCCCAAGGAGGGTGGGCGTGGGGTAAGGCTTAGTGGGGAAAGGGGCAGGTGACTGCTCAAAAACCATCATAGGAAGGCCACTGAATCCGGAAGACCTGGGTTCGAATCCCAGCTCTGCTTCCCCCCACCTGCATGGTCTTGGGGAAGGCCCCTCTCCTCTTTGAGACTAATAATGCCTGGGCTACAGCAACGGCACACAGCAGGACACATGGGAAGGGTCCTCTGAAAGCTCTGATCACGACTGAGGTCAGGAAGGTTGGGAAATGAGGGGATGAGCCTGGCTCACTGGGTGGTGAAACAGACCAGGAGGGAGAGTTGGAAAGAGGCCTCCATTTCACCCCACCCACATGAGAGAGGGCCCTGAGCAGGCAGAGGGACAGGAGGGGAAGTGTGGTCTTCACTGTGGGAGGGGTCATACAAGAATTCACAGGAGTACCTCGTCTCCCAAACTGAGACCCAGGTGAGGAGGAATTTGTTAACCTGTCATCCAGAGCCTGGCATGCAGCTGGCATTCCTGAGTGAAGGAACCCAGACAACCCCAAGGCTTTCAGGCCTGCAACGCCCCAACCCCATCCTCAGCTCTGGACCCTGGACCACTGCCCTCCAGCCTCTGCCCTTAGGCCTCCACCCCACATGAAGCCAACCCCCACTGAGAAGACCCCGAAGTGACCCCATCCTCTGTCCCATCAACCATGAGTCTATTTCATTTGATCCTCCAAAGACAATCAGAAAGTCCCCGAGGTGTCCCAGTCCTGGGTTTGGTGATGGGAGCCCTGGAGCAACTCAGACATGGGCCTTGCTCTCAAAGAAACCAAGAATATTGCCACCATCAGGGCAAAACAGAGCTACAGTAACAACAAAGCAGCAGCTCTTACCATTACCTCTAACACTCACAGCTACCTTGCAAGCTGGCATTCTTTCATTCCCATTTCACAGAGGAGGAAACTGAGGCTCAAAGGACAAGTAATTTGCCAAATTATTTGTCTATTTGACACTTAAAGCCCAAGTTCCTAACCATCAGGTAAACGCTATCTTGCCATGAGGCAAACTACCCTCAGTTTAGCAAAAGGTCATGGAGAAGTGCCTAGAGCCAGAGGTATTTCCCCCCATAATTCTTAATTCCTGAGGCTTCCTCTCTGTATGGAGATGCCTGGACCACCACTTTCAACTCGATATTCATCTAAGCAAGGGCGGCAGACTATGTGCTGCCACGCCTGTCGCCTGTGTCCTTGGCAGACATTGCTAATCAACTGCAGCCCTATTCCCTCTGATTTAAAGGCTTCGGACTGTTTCTCAATAAAAGGCTCCTGGCTGGCAATACCAATCCATCAGGGGTGGCCTTGTTCATCTCATTACCCATCCCTGCCCCACAGCAAACATCCTTCCTCTCCCCATTTTCATGTCTTCTCTCTCCCATTTCCGCCAGCTCAGCCCTTTCCTGGCCCCTCTCCAAATCCACTTCCGCTCCCTCCATTCCAAAAGGGCCAAAGCTTGCCAAGGTCACAGACGACCTCTTTGCTGTCAAAACATTCCCCAGTCCCCCCTGACCTCTGAAATACTCCGCATTTTTCTGCAATCCTCCTTCCCTGGCCTGATCCTTCCCCTCTTCTATGGCCTCCTGGAACAGAGCCCTGGTAGACTGGTTGCCACTCATCAGCCTCAGAGACCCTCTGCCCAACCTCCTCACTTGACAGACGATAAAACTGAGGCCCAGAGAAGGATGGGACTTGTGCAAGGTCACACAGCAATCAGAGGGACCCCAGCTCCCAAAGCACTACAGGCAACTCCCACAAGGACTGTTGCGAAATTAGAGGTTGCCCAGCCTCGTCTCCCCCCCAATAGCCCTGCACGCAAGCACACGCACACACATGCAGGCACGCACACAGCAGACGATCCAATCAGACACAGCTTCTTCCCATGACGTTACATTTACTTTCCCACTTCTGTGCCTTTGCTCAAGGAGCTCCCTCTACCAGAAATGCCCTTCCCTTTGCTTGATTGAAACCCCTCGCACCCAGCCTCCTCCAGGAAGGCCTTCTTTGAGGCAGTATAGCCTAGTGGTTAAGAGCACGGGCCTGAATCCTCGAATCCACTGAGTGAGCCTGAGCAAGTTAATTTCCCTGAGCCTCAGCTCTCTCTTCTATAAAGTGGGAGAAGCAAAAGTCTCCAGCTCACAGGGCTGTGGTGACCCTTTGATGAGATAATGAGATAATAAAATGTAATGAGATAATGAGCCAATAAAATGTAATGTGCTTAGCACAGGGCCCCACCCATGGTTTTGCCTCCTGGGGCCTGTCCCTGCTGTCAGGGGTTTCTCTGCCCCTCCTGAGTATGGATCTCCTTCTCTTCCTCCCACAGCCATATCACAACCACCAAGCCGCTGCCTGCTGTGTGTTTTCCTCTTGAAGGACTGCCACGCATGTCTGCCTCCCCCAGGAGCTAGTATGGAGAAGGGGCATCCCCGCTCAATGTTGCTGCTGTCTCATTCTACTTCTCCCTGCCCCTCCCAGGCCCAGCAGAGATCCTCCTGCCCCTCCAGGGAACCCTGCCTCCGCGCCCATACTTCTGGGCATGATTCATCTCTTCAGTGAGGTATAAGTTCTCTCACACCCCACTCCCTCCCTGAAGAAACCGGAACCAAAGAACACTCTATTAATAAAGACAGAGGTAGGGTTCACTGCCACACCGGCCCAGTCACCATCCAGCCACCTCGGATAGGCTGGAGGCCATGTGCTCCTTCCCAGGAGGAGCCCAGGGTTTCAGGAAGAGCTCCCGGAGGCCCCCAGGCAAATACAGGCCTGAGTCCACAGCGCTGTTCCGGTCCTCGTTATTTTTGGCCCGGTCGTGGGTAATGACTGCACTATTTTAACTTTACGATTTTACAGATGACCTGCTGTCAGAATTAGCTGGGGATGGATGGACCATAGGCCCAGTCTAACTTGTAGTTGCAAACATGTACTCTTTCCTTATTAAGCGGGCCCCTGCCCAGGCGTCAGAGCTCTTGTGCCCTTGTGCCCCTTCTGCTGCCCTGGGAGACCCAGCCTGGCTGGTGCCTGGAACATCAGAGCTGCAGCCAAACCCATGGGCCAGGGGGGAACCTCCAGCAGGGGTCCTGGCCTCCAGCCTCCTCCGGCCTGGTGGGGATATGGCCTCAGAAGCCACAGAGTGACACCTCAAAAGAGGACCCAAGCTCTGCTGTGACCTGGAGTGTGGCTGCTTCTCTAGGCCACAGTCTCCTTATCTGACAAATGGGCTCAGGCCTGCAGGAGCATCATCAGAAAAAGGTTCAGCATGTGAAAAGTGCTAGGCAAATTGGAGAAGTTGTTAAGACTATCAAAAGAAAATAATAATTTCAAAAAGGTAATTCCCTGCGGTCCAGTGTTTAGGACTCGGCACTTTCACTGCGGGGGTCCGGGTTCAATCCCTGGTCAGGGAAATAAGATCCTGCAAGCTGTGGGGCACGGCCAAAAAAAAAAAGAAAAAAAAAAGATAATAGCAGCAGCTACCATTCCTAAGTACCTACTTATACTGTAAGAAAAAAATATGCTGTCAAGGTTAAAATGATGAGGTCTGGAGACGGGTTGTGGGGTTCATAGTCACTCTACCTCCCTGGTCCTTGGTTTCGTCATTTAAAAATGGGGACAACAACTGTACCCACCCTATGGGGTTGCTGTGAGGATGAAATTAGTATACACAAGGTAGGCTTAGAACGGTACCTGGTAGATACCAAGTGTGAGTGTTGTGTCATTATCAAGGGTCAAGTGCAAAGGGCTTTCATGTGTACATAGCCATTTGCAGTACTTTATGAGAAGAGTCAAGGATATAGTAGGACTCCCATTTCACAGATGAAGACACTCAGAGGTGTCTGGCCATGACTCAATCCACAGTGCTGGGCCTTGAATCCATAGCTGTGCTCTCTGCCCTCTCCTGCAGCCCACCAAGCCCCTTCCCATGAGCAGGGCCAGGCTCGGGGTCATCCAAGAAGAACGGGTATCCTGTCCTGGAGGCTGCCTGAAAGGAGCGTCTGGCTCACTTTCAGTGGGCAGTGGGTGATCTGACTCCTTCAAGCCACACACCCCTCCCTCTGCCGCCAGACCTGTGAGAAGCAGCGTCCCAGCCTCCAGTTAAATGTCCCTTGCACTTGCTGTTCCCTCTGGCTGGAATGCTGTTCCCAGATTCCTCCCTCCTTGTACTGTATTCATATGTGTGTTCCACACCTTCTCCGAGAGGCCTTCCCTGACCCCCTGCACTGACACTCTCAGTGCCCCACCTTTATCTCCTCGGTGGGTACCATTTCCACACACGCCACCTGACACGCCACTCTCTGGCTGCCGGAGACTCAGATGCCCATGGGGGCTGGGGCAGTAAGAGCTCCTGTTCCCAGCAGCCCCCTCCCACCACTGACAGGAACTGCCCCTCAAATGGAGTAACTGCTCCAGAGCTCCCCACAGGTGGCATCCCAGCCGCCCACAATGGAAACTGGCTTCATGTTGTCCACTCTTTGGACTCCTTTCCCTTCTTGCTTCTCCTACAAACATTTCCTGGGATCTCTTCCCAAATAAGTGACTTTACTCAGATCCCTATCTCAGCATCTGCTTCTAGAAGAACCCAAACAAAGACACCACCCATCATTTCCTCACCCGCTTTATCTTTCTCCTCTTGGCGTCACCACTACCCACAAGCACCTCACTTATCTGCACCCTGGTCATGCTGTCTACCTCCTCCCCCAGAGGGCTGGCGCTATCCGAAGAGAGATGGACGCATTCCCCAGACTCGCCGACACCTCTAACAGTGCCCGACACACAGTCAGTGCTCAATACGTATTACGGTTTGGGCTTTATTTATATTTTTCATTATAAACATTATAAATAAGGATGAATAGATCTTCCGTCCCCCGCCTACCACCATGAACCAGCTTTGTTGAAACCAGCTTTGTTTTTACCCATTCTCATGGAGTTCTCTGACAACCCGTGGAGGAGCCCGAGAGTCAGACGGACTCCTCTTGGAAATAAGCGTACGGAGGGGCCAGGGTGAACCACCCTTCCAGGCAGCTGGATGAAAGGAAAACCCAGGGCAGGGACTGAGACAGAATATTTATGGTTTCCAAAGAGGTGGGGGGAAAAGCCACGTGTGGGAGAAGGAGAGAGCCCTCCTTCAAAGTCAGCACTAACTGGGAGACAGGGAGCCATGAGGTTCAGGGCAAAGAAAGCTGTCTGCCGCTGGCTTTGCTCTGGGACCTCAGGCAAGTCCTTCTCTGGGCTCCAGTTTCTCTGCAAATAAAACAATGATCACGCTGATCCCAGCTGAGGGCCTTGAGGGGTGAGGAGCAAGTCACAGCCAACAGCGGGTATCAAATCTAACCTTGTACACACTGATGTGTATAAAATGGGTGACTAATAAGAAAATGTAAATAAATAAAAATTAAACATTAAAAAAAAAAATCTAACCTTAACTCCAGTGGCTTCAGCCTGGCCCCAAAACTCAAGCACAGGGCTCAGACCTTCTTGAGGGTTGGGTCCAAGGCCTGGCTGGGACACCACCACAGGCCAGGCTGCCCCAGCACTTCCACCCCAGACACACCGCATGGCTTCCCTCTCTACTTGTGGCCATGTCGGGGCCAGTGACTCCACTTCCCTGAGCCTCAGCCTCCTTCATCTGAGAAATGAATCTGATAGGAATCCCTGCTCTGTCACCTCTGAGGAGCAAATGCACTAATGGAGGCAAAAACACTATGTGAAAGGTAGAGGGACAAAGCAGTAGTTACCATTTACTGAACTCTTTCTCTATGCCAGGCAAAACATGATTTCAGTTAACCTGCACCCCCCCCAAAAATCTGTGGTGGGTACTCCTGTTATTAACAGTTTATAGATCAGAAAACTGACTTAATAACCAGGGACAGGTGGGGATTCGACCTCGCTTATTCTGGGTCTAGAAGGCTCCAGGATGGCACTCTGGGCTTACTGGGGTCTGCCTAATAGGAAGGCTCTTCTTTCCTCTTCTTTCCTCCACAGACGTAGACAGCCTCTGAGCCCCCAAAACTCTTTCCACCACACTAAGTATTATGTTGAAGGTCCACATGACAGGCAGCGGGAAGGGGAATGGGGGAGAAGGAAACCACCAGTTAGGTGCCAGAAGGAAGTGTTACTGTCAACAACCTTCTCAACATCCCTACCGGGTTAGAACTGTTATGTCCATTTTGCGGATGAGGAAACTGAGGTTCAGAAAGGAAAAGTGACTTGTCCAACATCAGAGCAGGCAGGAGAAACTCTTTTCCACCATCCAAGGTGGCTAACTCTCACCCTTCCCCATATCGAGTGAAGGATACCAAGGGAAGGGGGGCTCCTGAGTTTCCTTCCCTTGCCCAGAGCCCTACCCCCCTCCCTTATCCCTAGAGAAAACTGCAGGGTTCCCCCACTGGAACAGGCCATCATTCTCAGTCCTGATCAAATCCCACAAATATTTAAAGGAGCTATTTTGGGAGTCCATAAATGTGGGAGACGGGTGCATCCCTGGCTAGTCCAGTCCTAATGGTCTCTGACCCCACCCCCACCAGTAGACACCAGCCCACGTTCCCAATGCCAGTCTTGTCTTGGTTTAGGAGGCAGGCACAGCTGGAACCACACAGCCGGGCAAGAGGCGGGGCAGGGCAGGCTCCCTAGGCCCAGACACGCTGGCACTCCTGGGCCTCTCCTGGGCCTAGCGAACTAGGGCTCCCCTGGCGGAGCCCTGGAAGGCCAAGAGGGAAGGGGGTGGGGTGTGACTGTACTGACAGCGGCTTCCTGGTGCCTGGAGAGGCCAGGGTCCCAGGCGGTTGGGGCATGGGGGGCAGTGTGCAGGAGTCCTGCCTTCGGCTCCATATCTACCAGGAAGGCTTGAGTGACCCCAGACAAGCCCCTCCGTCTCTCCTTGTGAAAAGGGCTGGGTTTCTCAGGCCTCAGGGGAGGGTGCCAGGTGACGGGTTCCCTGAGAGTAACTGGAGACAGGGAGAGGAGGGGGAGCCGGATGAGGTTCCTCTCAGGCTCCCAGACGCCCCTGGGAGAGGTGGCGGCAGAGTCTGCCCGGGCGCCCAGGGACATCGGAAGTTCAAGCGGGGAGGTGCGAGAAACAAACAGGTTTCAAAAATAGCCAGGAGGCCGGCCGTGGCACCTGGACCCAGCCAGAGGAGGGGACAACGAGGTCTAGATGGGCCGGTGTGTGGTAGGTACCTC